CCACTTAATTTGTCTCATACCATATTTGGCAAAGTTTGCGTGACTTTAAATCATTCTTACTTTATTCTTACTTTATCAATTAATATCAACCACACAAACCCACTTTTCTTAATAACCGTGTCACCCTCTTCCGTTCCAATATAAATGGGACGGAGGTAGTATTCTAGATTATTCTTCTTTGACCGTTTCTTTTGCTATTATTGTATATTTGTATAGACTAGTTTTCGACACGCGCGTTGAACGATTTAACATATGCCTAATGTTTTTTTGTTTAATACTTGTACGTTGTATTTTGATATGATTGTTTTTAGTATTTAGCATTTTGTACATATATACGTTATGTATATATATATTCTTTTTAACCTTCTTATTCTATCATTTGTATGTATATCCATCTATTTTTATATTCTGTTTTATCATAGTTTATCTTTTTTTTTCCTTTTGGTTATGATATCCATGTATAGATTCATGTTAGCCGACTCCAAAATCTTTTGGGACTAAGTTTTGGATGTTGTTGTTGTTTTACCATGTGAAAAATTAGTAGTGATCAATCAGAAAAATATATAGTCTTTACATTTCAGTGAATACTCAATCTTGCGTAATTCGACAAATGTGCAACATGGTGAGGTGTAGATAATTTAGCTCATAAGTAAATGGCCAAAAACCCCTTGAAGTAACACTCGATGTCTTCGGACATTCAAAAACGGTTGTCTAAGCCACTCTGTATTTGCTGTAGTCATGGACCCGGGCCGGGCCGATTCCGGTTCCGGGCCGGGCTTGGCCGGGCTTTTTTTAGGAAGGAAGGCCCGGGACCGGCCCGGGTAGCCACCGGGTCCAGTCCGGGTCCGGGCCAGGCCTCCGTTTTTTTTTTTTTGCTTTACTAACCCCCCCCCCCCACCCCCCAAACCCCTCCTAACCATCAAGCCCAACCCGGGTGGAACCCCAAAAATGAAAAATAAAAAATATCAATTCGGCCCGGACCCGGGCCCGACCCGGCCGGGCCGGTTCGCCAAATATAAGACCCGAGCCCGGACCCGCCCCACACCGGGCCTAGGCCCGACCCAGATCCGAGAACCGGGCCGGTCCCGCACAGTAGCGGGCCGGGCGGCCCGAACCGGGTCCAAGACTAATTTGTTGTATCATGATGAGCATTATAATTAACATTTATGACATATATAAGAGTAGAATTAACACTGATAACATAAGTTTGCTATCAACACTATAGTATCATGTTAGCTGATTTTTTTATGATAAAAACGTATAGTAGAATTAACATTGATAACATTAGGCTGTTATAAACATTCAACTAACATTGTTACATTGCCTAAAGTGTATGAGAAACTAAGATTGTTACACTGCCATGGATTATCATGCTCCTAAATAAAGATGACAAAAACATTAGAATAATATCCCCAAGCAGTAACAGTTAATATAATGAAATTAGACAGCACATTATCATTTCATTAGAAAAACACATGAACTCAAGAGGTATATTAATCCTGACAAAATGGGAAATAAAAAACACTGCCATGTATAGAGCAGATTATACCTTTTTTCAATCTAACATCATCTTCAGATATATTAATATAATGAAAAAAATCCTAAATTTTAAAAGAGCTTAAAATGATAAACAATGGAAATCTCAACCAGGTTCGGAAAAGTTTAACAAAACTTATCCTATTGATAAATTCCAAACAACATAAGACTAAACATGTTCTAATTTTTAATGAGATGCGTGATACTGGGCGTTAATGCAAATAACAATCTGTTCTCCAAACAACAATTCTTCTTTGAGAGATATGTCACATTTGATGAAAGCAATTTCATTCGTAAGAATAAAATAATTTTCTACTTCCTCAAGACACCCCCTAAAACGGGGAGTTAAGCCCCTTAATAATGAAGTACAAACGGAAAAACATAGTGTACCATCAATTTATGCCAATGATTACACCAACAATTTTTTCATTCCATAAATGCCCTAACTCTCATTGAGGATTATAAGATTTTAAGAATCATTGTGCATTATTATGGCATGTATTATTTCTAGAAAGTTACCTTTTTAGATTAAAACTCAATTATATATATACCTTTGTATGTTCGAATGTCAGAAATGGGAAAAAGCATTCACTGTAATTCTTCTCTCTGCATAATATTTTGATTCTTATTCAAAAGCCCTTTTCCAAAATAATCCATGCATTTAATAATATAACATATATATATATATATATATATATATATATAGGGGAAAGATCAAGTACAAAGTGTGCTTACTGTGCAAATATTTGTACGATGCATCTTGACGTTATTTGCATTGCATATTGAGGTTCGAAGTATTGCATATTATATAGTCATAAAATAGCAGGTGCACATTAACGTTCAATGAGTTGCACCCTAGAAAAGTTAGGTTTTATTACAAAAATACCACCTCGCCTTTATATCCTTTAAATCAACTCATCGGATGGCCAAGATAAGTTTGTACTTTGTAAATTAAGCATGGTTTGTATTTGATCTCTATTCTATATATATATATATATATATATATATATATATATATATATATATATAGAGAGAGAGAGAGAGAGAGAGAGAGAGAGAAATCATCTCATCAGGCCGGCCTGACGGGCTGCCCCGTCCGGCCGAGCCCGTTTGGGCACCTTCCCGGTGGAATTTTTTAATGAAATTTTTTGAGCATGTTCCTCATCAAGTCTAGTTTGTCCATGCCAAATTTCAGCTCAAAATTCGATCGGGAAGGTCGTCAAATGATTTTTGCAAGTTAACTGGTCCGGAATATGTATTTTCCGGACCAGTTAACTTGCAAAAATCATTTGACGACCTTCCCGATCGAATTTTGAGCTGAAATTTGGTATGGACAAACTAGACTTGATGAGGAACATGCTCAAAAAATTTCATCAAAAAATTCCACCGGGAAGGTGCCCAAACGGGCTCGGCCGGACGGGGCAGCCCGTCAGGCCGGCCTGATGAGAAGAGCTCTCTCTCTCTCTCTATATATATATATATAGGGTAAGGTTCAAGTGAGAAGAACCTTTTGGGTGAGAAATGAGAATGAATCTCAGTCATTGGATTCGACTAAGTTGCAGTAAAAGACACTTCATGATGCACTGAAATATGCAATCTAGCACGGTGGCATTTCTGTAAATACTTCTGAAAAATCCGTATTACACGTGTCTAGTGCAACATGAAGCTATTTCGGTGCAACGCTGTCAAATATTAGTGCAACATGAAACAGTTTTAGTGCAACATGTGCAAAATTTATTTTAGTGAAACAAATTATTTGAATGTCTTCCCGATTGAATTTTTAGCTGAAATTTGGTATGGATAAACTAGACTTCATGAAGAACATGCTCAAAAAATTTCATCAAAAAATTCCACCGGAAAGTTCCCGATTGAATTTTAGTGAAACAAATTATTTGAGTGCCTTCCCGATTGAATTTTTAGCTGAAATTTGGTACGGATAAATTAGACTTCATGAAGAACATGCTCAAAAAAATTCATCAAAAAAATCCACCGGGAAGTTCCCGAAATGCCCTCGGCCGGACGGCGGTTCCCGTTAGGCCGGCTGGACATGAAAAGTTGTCTATATATAATATATATAGGGTAAGGTTCAAGTGAGAAGAACCCTTTGGGTGAGAAATGAGAATGAATCTCAGGCATTGGATTCGACTAAGTTGCAGTAAAAGACACTTCATGATGCACTGAAATATGCAATCTAGCACGATGGCATTTCTGTAAATACTTCTGAAAAATCCGTACTACACGTGTCTAGTGCAACATGAAGCTATTTCGGTGCAACGCTGTCAAATATTAGTGCAACATGAAACAGTTTTATTGCAACATGTGCAAAATTTAAATATTACTGCAACATAAAGCCAATTTTAGTGCAAATTCGTAAATCCAGTGGCTGAGATTCATTCTCATTTCTCACATTAGATGCATTTCTCACCTGAACCAATACATACATACATACATACATACATACATACATACATACATACATACATACATACATACATACATACATACATACATACATACATACATACATACATACATACATACATACATACATACATACATACATACATACATACATACATACATACATACATACATACATACATACATAGATATATATATATATATATATATATATATATATACCTTGACTCTTCCGGCGAAGGGGTGGCGCCGGCACCGGCTCGCTCCCCCTGGTACCGCCGCTGCTACCAAATACGGTATATTATGGTTTGATTTCCCGTTCAAGAAGAAATAAGATACTACATCCGCCCATAAAACATAATCAATGTTGACTTGCACGTGAAATAATAAAGTAAAAACTCGTGGTTGAGATTTGTAAAGAGGAGAGAGAAATAGTGTTAGCCACATATTTGTTGTTTTAAATGGAAATGATAAAGTTTTTTGGGACGGCCAAAAAAAGAAATTTGACCAAGTTTTATAGGACAGAGTATGAACAAAGTGACAAGCTAGTTACAGAGTAATAAAGTTACTTTACAAAAAAACTAATTAATAAAATCGTGGATTAACAACAAAAGACTAGGCTACGCATCTCAATAGAAGCTGCCGCCTCTTTGGAGACCTAAAGCATCTCGCCGCATTTAAGCATCAGCTTTGAATCGGCGAGACGGCGACAAAGTTGAGATCTAAGCAGCTATGGTCCTCTTTCATACTTTTACACATCCGCCCTCACTTTTTCTTCACTATTCCCCATTACTCATACTATTTCATTCTTAAATATCGTGCTCTACCCTATTGTAGAGAACTTTAAAATACGGAGGGAGTACGTAGTAATAAAATAATAGGACCGGCCCAGGACAAGGGTAGCCAACCCAACCGCACAGGGCCCAAAATTTTGGAGGGCCCAAAAAATAAAAAACTAGGAGTATACTCCAGCCCAATCCTAGCGTCCTAACTTCTAACGCGCCCAGAAACCTTCGCTCTCTGTCCGCTACACTTGGAAACACGAAGCACGGGAACGACGAACTGACGAAGCGACGAAAGACTGTAGGAGGGCGACAAAGGCAAGTGACTGACTGACGACAGCCATCACCCATCGCCATCGCCATCCCGCCACTGGCGCTCCGCCTCCACGAATCCAGTCTGTCCATCGCTCCACGATTCGCCTGGCTGACTGACGACCGCCATCACCCATCGCCAGCTCCATCCCGCCACTGGAACACCGCGCTCCGCCTCCACGAATCTATTCTGTCCACCGCTCCACGACCGCAGGTCCGCAACTGCGCAGTATTGACAGTAAACTCAGTAAGCAACTCATGACTAACTCAGGATCAGCACGTCCATGATTTTCAGATTTCTGATTTGTTTAATTCCGAATTACTGAAACTGATTTTATGTTGATTATTGGTTGAATTGTTGCATTGTTGTTATTTTTTTCAGTTAAAGTAAATGATTTATTGGATTGATAATAAATATGTTTAACAATTAAGATTTAAGAAATTGGTATAAATTTATACTCCGTATTTGGATAACTTGAGGTTCATAAATTATAATTATACTATATAGTCCCATATGATTTCATCCTAAATTCAAACTGAAATTTAATTTAATATTTATAAACATGTACAAGATCATAGGAGAATTTCAACAATTAGTAGTAATTATGTTTCCAAATAAATACCCATTCGGTCATGAGAAGCGTCAAAAGAAAAGAAGGCTCGACAAGTTAACCTTGTCTCAAAAAGAAGTTCGAAGAATGTATCTTTTTAAATAAAATGTATTTTATTAATGATTACTTTTATTTTAATCATTATGTTGATTAGTAACTTATATTTTAACACAAGTTACATGTGTTGGAACTTGGGAAAAAAGGCTCAAATTCTGTTGTTGCACAGGGTCTCCATTTTCTCAGGACCGGCCCCCCCTGGCATACTGGTGCCGCAGCGCTATTTTTCTCGAGCTTCGGCTTGTCAGTGATCTCATATCTGAGTACAACTTATGCTCCATGAACATACAGATCTTAGTAACATCAGAATCTCATTTTCTTATTCGGGTGCTGAATGGCACCTTCCAAATCATAGACTCTATCAGAGACCAAATTGGCCTGGTGGTTGCTGGTTTTTACTGCTCCCATCCTAACTCGGAGTTAATCAATACAAGGTATCTTCGTGTGTAGCTAAGGATCAAATTGCCTGTCATCAAATATATATAAGTTGCACGTTAAGTTTTCCTTGTATTTAATGCTTTACATTGATGTGTAGAAAAGGTGGAATGATGCAAAACCCTATCCCTAGTGAACTAAAAACAAAAGATTGCTTCTCCCAGAGGAATGAATTGCCTCCAAATCAAGATGGAGATGCGGGTGCAGCATTCAATGTTTTAGATTCAACATTGAAGGATATATTGGACCGACTGCAGAGCATGAGGTTAGTGGTAGTGCAGTATATATGAGTATTGATGCATCGGTGTAGCCTGTATGAAAATCTTTCATCAAGATTTTTCACAACTAGAGATTGATTCTTCACACAGAGGAGGGTTTGAATAGGCAAGCGATACTTAGTGGGTTGTGTTATATTAGTAATTTCTGTAAATACTAACTATAGCACATGATTAAGGTAATGTTGGAGTTCTGTTTTCTACTAGCACTTGCTTTAAGTGATCTCAACTTTCAAAGCATTTGCAATTATTAGATTCATCCAATTGTGATCCACATTTCTCTTTATGGTTTGCTATTACAATGGACAGTGTTAAATGACATAAAAGCATGGTAAGATTGGAATGTATGATGTGCTAATCTTGTTTATTTGATCAGAAAGCTCTGCCCCATTCTTTTTCCACATGTCACACAGCATAGATGATTTCAGGGAAGTCATTTGTTATATATTTATTCATTATGTTTGTTATATGTGATCTATTTCTTTACATTTTATGGTTCCTTCCATGTTTTTTCTCAATCTTAATTGCATTCCTTTTCGATGGTTAAACATACTCCATAAAACTTAAGAGTGTGGTACTGTGGTCATGCTTAATGAGAATATATTCCATTTTTGGTCCCACAAATATTAGGTTAATATCACTTTTGGTCATTGACCTTAAATTTTTTCTACTGTTGTCGCACGATTCTGAAATCCCTGTGGGCAGATCTTTGACTAATCTAGTCTGATAAACTAATTACAACCTTCATGGAAGATATTGAACCCTCTAACTAGCTCTGGATATTGATTTCATCATATTTGTGCAGGGAAAGAAAATCGTGGACTTGCATTGGCTTTGATAACATACACAAGTTGCATTGTGATGAACTTGTTATTAGAACATTATGTACAGAGGGCAAACTGGTCACTGCTTTTTCTCTATGGAGCCAGATGATACATAAATTCAGCATTCCGAGTATATATACATACAACTATCTTATTAGTGGACTTTGTAAAACTGGCTACTTGGAGAAAGCAGAGTGGATTGTCAAAGAGATGCAATTCCAGGGTCCTACTCCTAGTTGTGCTACATATAATAACCTAATTAATGGGTATTGCCTTATGAATGATTTGGACAGAGCTCTGGAGATATTCTCAACCATGGCTAGCAATGGTATTACCCCAAATAGAGTTTCTTGTAATATACTTGTTGATGCACTTTGCAAGAAGGGTCTCATTGGGGAATCAAAGAAACTTCTAGAGATGATATTAGGCGATAAGCATGATGACCCAGATTTAATCACATCAACTATAATCATGGATGGTTGCTTTAAACATGGGGATAGTATTCAAGCTCTTGCCATATGGGAGACGTTAAGGAGAGTTCAGATCGATCATATTGCCTACAATGTCATCTTAAATGGATTCTGTTTGAGTCGGGACCCGATCATGGTAAACAGCTATATCTGTCAAATGCTGAAGACTGGTTTTATGCCTGACATATTTTCTTACAATATGTTAATTGGTTTACTTTGTAAGGAAGGACAAATGAATGAAGCTTGTTATAGATTTGGTCTCATGACAAGAATGGGCATTTGTCCTGACAGAATCACTTACAAAATCATTATTCAAGGCCTTTGTATGAATGGAGAAGTTATTAAAGCTAATTATTTTCTTTGCTGTATGTTAGAAAATTCTATCGTACCTGAACCTCTCATTTGGAATGTAATCATTCATGGATATGGGAGATATGGAAATGTAAGAAGAGCTGAAGATATTAGGAGCCAGATGGTTGCATCAAGTGTTATACCTAATGTATATACTTACAATGCACTGATCTATGCATATATAAACGTTGGAAATTTCATTGAAGCTCACTCTTTGAAAAAGAAGATGCTTCTACACGGGATTCTACCTGATTCGGTCACTTTTAATTTGTTGATTGGTGCAGCATGTAACTTTGGCGATATTGATCTCGCACTCCGCCTGCATGGCGATATGTTGAGAATAGGCTGTGAACCAGATACAATTACTTATACCGAGTTGCTTAGGTGTTGCTGTGTATCACATAAAATGAGAGAGGCAAACTGGCTCTTTGGCATGATAAGGAGATCTGGGATAAAACTTGACCATGTTCCATTTTTATTATTGATGAAAAGATATTGGGGAATGAGGGAGCTTGACAAAGCATTTGAGCTTTATCAAGAATGGTTAATGACTAAGGATATTTGATTGCTTCCACGACAAAAGATTGTCGCTATTTAGGTAGTGATAGAAATGTAAAGAGGCTGAGTTTCCAAGGCAATGGATGCTGCTGCTCGATCTAGGTGAAGCTTTTTTTAGTAGATTGATTAAACTTCGCTTCATTCAATAGAATTGATGAAAAGTTTCCCTGCCTTTTGATTGTTAAGCATATTCAATGCTCCAGAAATTGTCACATTGGTGATCTCCTTTAAAGAAATTGTCACTAGATTCTTTTCTAGACAATTAAATTTTTTAATGTTCTTTTTTTTTATAGATGTTCGTGGCACTCCTAAGACAATTAAAAATGGTGATCTCCTTTAAAGACGATTCATGCGATGTGGTAATAAGAAGAAGCTAAGGTATTACCTTTTTAAATTATCTTCCTTTTATTTCTAAAAGATCTATTGTATTTTCTGGTTCTTCCTTTTGATTGTATTTTTTGGGGTGGACCTATTATCTTTAACGTTATGATGTAAAATTTGCAGTGTAATCAGCAACAAGGAGTAGCACGAGGAAAGCTCCTGAGACCATTGTTGATATCTTGGATTAGGGGTGGGTTCGGTTTATGCGGTTCGGTTTTGACCTAAAACCAAATGTAGAATCAAACTAAAAACTTCGGTTCGGTTCGGTTTGTTCATATTTTTTGTCCAACCACGGTTGATTCGGTTCGATTTCGGTTTTTTCGGTTTTAAACCAAAAGACACATACTTTCTGAAAAAAGAAATGACGTGCAATTGTGCAAAATAACCAAAGTGCAGGAAAATAAAACACAAAGTACTGAAGAAAGTCAATTCCTGCTTTACAATTTAAATAAAGTGCACTAAACATTAATGCATGACACTTAAAAGTTTAGCGTAGTAAACTTGGATATAGTGCAGCAAAATAAAATGCAGTCCCAACTGAAATCAAAATAAAATGCAGTCCCAAAGGGAGATCCGCTCATTTTTGCTTCACATCTTGAATCGAGAGAGCAAAGTGGAGGGCGGGTATTCGTGTGGAGGAGTGATCTCATATTATTATTATTATTATTATTATTATTATTATTATTATTATTATTATTATTATTATTATTATTATTATTATTATTATTATTATTATTATTATTATTATTATTATTATTATTATTATTATTATTATTATTATTATTATTATTATTATTATTATTATTATTATTATTATTATTATTATTATTATTATTATTATTATTATTATTATTATTATTATTATTATTATTATTATTATTATTATTATTATTATTATTATTATTATTATTATTATTATTATTATTATTATTATTATTATTATTATTATTATTATTATTATTATTATTATTATTATTATTATTATTATTATTATTATTATTATTATTATTATTATTATTATTATTATTATTATTATTATTATTATTATTATTATTATTATTATTATTATTATTATTATTATTATTATTATTATTATTATTATTATTATTATTATTATTATTATTATTATTATTATTATTATTATTATTATTATTATTATTATTATTATTATTATTATTATTATTATTATTATTATTATTATTATTATTATTATTATTATTATTATTATTATTATTATTATTATTATTATTATTATTATTATTATTATTATTATTATTATTATTATTATTATTATTATTATTATTATTATTATTATTATTATTATTATTATTATTATTATTATTATTATTATTATTATTATTATTATTATTATTATTATTATTATTATTATTATTATTATTATTATTATTATTATTATTATTATTATTATTATTATTATTATTATTATTATTATTATTATTATTATTATTATTATTATTATTATTATTATTATTATTATTATTATTATTATTATTATTATTATTATTATTATTATTATTATTATTATTATTATTATTATTATTATTATTATTATTATTATTATTATTATTATTATTATTATTTTCCCTCGTCTTTTTTTTCGTGTTTTTTATTCTTTTATACTTATGTATATAAACATTATTTTTACCCTTTAAATTTTATCATTTTTATGTATATTCATTCCGTTTTATATTATCTTTTTTTATAATAGCTTATTGTTTAATCTTCATTTTCTTTCTTTTTCTTTTGGTGGTGATATCATGTATCGATTCATGTTAGCCGACCCCAATTTCATTTGAGACTAAACCTTGGATGTTGTTGTTGTTGTATCTTGAATCGATCTACCATGTCTTCGACGGCGGCTCCTTTTTTCGAGAGCTAAGCCTCTTACATTTTAGGTTAAAAGATTATGGAGTACTGGACTCGTAAAAAGCCTCTTACGCTTTCGGTCTTGAGCGTTGACCACATGACCGACCATATACTCCATATAAAATAAATGATTTTTTATATTTTTAAATATTTCGGTTTTTTCGGTTCGGTTCGGTTTTGAGGAGTCAAAACCGAAATCGAAACCAAACATGTTCGGTTCGGTTCGGTTTCTTATGTTCGGTTTCGGTTTTTCACCGGTTCGGTTTATTTGGTCGCGGTTTGATTTGATTCGATTCGATTTTCGGTTTTCGGTTCTACGAACCCACCCCTATCTTGGATGATCGATTGGGGAGGGAGGCGGGTTCTACTCGATTGGAACTCTCCCATGGGGCGAAGCTGTGAAGGTTATCAAGTTGTACCAGTATTATAAGTGTGGTGGCCAAATCATTTCTTGGTTCAAGCTCTTACTTTAAAATTTTCAATTGGTTATATCTTTGAATGATTGATTGTATAATTAAAATAAAATTCTATCATTTTTTTACTCCGGGCAGTTTTTCTGATCTGATGGTTTGGCCCATGGTTGAATAACAAAGACCCAAGTAGGTGTAGGAATGGACCAAACCGGGTCCGGGCTGGGCCGGGCCTAGGCCCGGTCGGGCCTTTTGTGTTAAGGGGAAGGCCCGGGACCGGCCCGGGTTGCCACCGGGTCCAGTTCAGGCCGGGCCTCGGGCCTGGTTGTAATATTTTTTTCTTTCCTAAGAACCCCCCCCCCCCACCCCCCCCCCCCCCAAAAAAAACATCAAGCCCAACCCGGGAAGCCCAATAAAAACAAAAAAAAAACCATTTTTGGGCCCAAACCGGGCCTGCCCAGGCCGGTTGCCCATTTCAGCAGCCCGAGCTTGCCCCGCATTACCTTTCAAACCGGGCGATGGACCGGTTTCGGACCCGAGGCACCGGGCCGGGTGGTCTGAACCGGGTCCATGCCTAAGTAGGTGTCATCTGCTACCTTTTGAATGCAGATTGATAATGTGTCCGGTGACTTGTGGTTTAGGCAAAAAAAAAAAAGGAAAAATCAGTTTCTTCATGATGAACTGCTATTTTCTTTTTCTTCCGCATTCAGATTTCAGAATGGAAACTTGTTAAATCAGATTTGTACTATATTCAAATTTCTATTTTACTAAGTCCTTGATTTTTTTTATGTTCTTGCACTGTGCATTTTGTTTTATGTCTAGATTTTTTGTTTGTTTTTCATCCTTACTTTTCTCTATTTCATCATCAATTATAACAACCTTTGTGGATAATGAAACAATCTTGACTAGGTTTCGTGTCATTCTATGTCATGTGAAAAGTATGTAACCTTGTTTTTTAGAAGGTCGTTAAAAGTTATTTTAAAATGTAAGTCATGGGGATTGCATCGTTCTAATTCTCATATTAGCGTCTAGAAAATTATATAAAGATGGATAAAAAAATTTCTATTAGATTTTGAGATGAACTAAAAAGAAAATAATGCATACACCATGAATGAAAAATTAAAAATATATTTTCCATACACCATGGATGAAAAATTAAAAAATATTTTGTTGGAATATAAAACAAAACGTATATAGGCCTTTTTTGTTACGAAATATTTCCCTTTCACTCCTGAACTCATAATACGGAGTACTTGACTTGAAACTTCTTGTTGTCTTCGTTTATCTTCACTCCTCCGCACCCCCCGGTCTAGCATTTGGTTTGCTTCACTTATTGATTGAGCTTCTATCCGGATCTGGATCACATGCAGATAAGGATTGAAGTCCATTATTCCCATTTTCACTTTTTCTTTTTCTCATATCGTTTAGCCATAAGAAAGACATGGATGTAGCTAGTAGCTACTGGCTACTGCGGGGCTGTAGCTAATGTCGACTTTGCCGTCCACGGTTAGAAACCACCATCACGCAGGGCTAGGGATGGACCGGGCCCGGTCCGGTTCCGGTTCCAGGTCGGGCCCGGGTGGGCTTTGTTTTTTTTTTCTGGTGAAGCCCAACACCGGCCCCGAACCGGTTCTTGTAATTTTTTTTTGCTTTTCTTATTTATTCCCCCCCCCCCCACCCCCCACCCCCAAACCCCACCAAAACCCCCAGCCCAACCCACCTACCATAGGCCCAAACCCAAAAACAAAAAATTAAAACAAAAAGACCCAGACCGGACCCGGACTGGCTGAGCTCTATTTCCCCAGTCCCGGAACTAGGGATGGACTCGGGCCGGGCCAACCGGCCCGGAACCGGACCGGCCCGCTACTGTGCGGGCCCGGACCGGCCCGGTGAACCGGTTCGGTTCCGGTTCGGGCCTCCCGGCCCGGTGGTATACCGGTCCGGGCCCGGGTCTCCAGTTTAGTGAACCGGCCCGGCCGGGCCGGGCCCGGTTCGGGCCGGAATTTAATTTTTTTTTTTTTTTTTTGAAATTTTTTTAAGTTTTGGGTTGGATTAGGTATTTTGGGCCATTTGAGGTGGTTTGGGGTGGTTTGGGGTGGAGGGGTAGGGGGGTAAATAAGAGAAGAAGAAGAAAAAAAAAACATTCCGGGTGGCCCGGCCCGGCCCGGCCCGGTTCTGGCCCGGAACCGGAACCGCCCACCACCGGTTCGGGCTCGGGCCTCCTTTTTCTGAACCGAGGCCCGGCCGGGCCCAGGCCCGAACCGGAACCGGTCCACCCCTACCCGGAACCGGCCCCTAAAATCTCCCAGGCCGGTCCTTGGCCCGTAACCGGTCCCGAACAACCGGGTCGGGCTGGCCCAGCACAGTGGCGGTCCGGTCCGATTCCCGGCCCGGTAAGACCGGAACCGGGCCACCCCTACGCGGGGCACAAGTGGCAGAAAAGTGAGGGGCAGTGCTTAGTTTACAAACCAAAAACCAGTACCCATACCAATCACTCTTGGATATCGGACTATCGGGGCGGCGATTATTACAATTAAGTTTACAACCTTATGATAGGTAGAACTGAAGAAGAATGAAAGTAAAATAAAATAAAAGGAAAGACCGAAGAAAAACTGTGGCGGTGTTGGGAAGAAGATTGACTAAAGATAGAAAATAATAAAAAAAGGAAAAGAAGAGTGAGAATAGACACATACTCGCATCTACTAGACTACTAGTAGTCTGGTAATATTTAAGATCCGGGAACAAAAGTTGAATTTTGATATGGGTGAAAATAACCCTTATTTATGAAAATGTGGTTTAATACACCAAATTCCTTCGTGAAATATAAATTCGGCGCATTAGTTCATGTGATTTAAAAAATGCGTCAAACCCTCCTGAGTTATAATTAATCATGCGTCAAACCCTCTCCAAGAACAAATTTAATTTCCAAAAAAATGAAAAATGATTAGTTTTTTTTATATATAATTTAGAAATTTTGACAAAGTTACTTGCATATTCAACCATATTACTAAAATTACTAAAATAAGTGATTTCAAAATTGTAAAATTTGTTCTTGAAGGGGATTTTGTGCATGATTAATTATAACACAAGAGAGTTTGACGCATT